GTCTGATACACTAATTTGTATTTCCAACGAGGAACAAGCCTCGTTTACGTGCTCTCCATTACCCGAGATACTTCTATCACAGGTTCTAACTTAATTCACCAAGATAGACGATAACGGAATGGAATCGAAGAAGGCGGTTCTATTCGAGGCACCGAGAGAATGAAAAATCAGCGGGAACAGGAGGAACAGCGGACGGAAGACCCAAAGACGTCGTGAAGGAGGAACGATGTTCAACAGAGAAGAAGATCACGGCTGGCAAAGTGTTCTCCCCGGGTCGACACTCGTGCAACACGCAACAGGAAGCTGTGAATCCACGTGTCAGCTCTACTACCTCTCCAGGTTAGTCGTGACCCCATAACCCAAGTGCCAAGTTAATAGACCAGGCGACACAGGGTGAACGGACAACTCGGGATTACCATATTTTGGTGCGTATCGTGCGTGGAGAGTTAATCGGTGTACAATATCGAGCTGTTTCGTTAACAGTTTTCGATACACGATCACTCGTGGAACTTCTTTCGTTCGTTCTCTGATATCATCTACTCTTTCCAGCGAAACGACCAATCGACTCGTCGGATACTAGAGAGTTTTCATTTCTGATCGTCATGTCGACGTTTTGGCTGCTCCTTTCGCTACTTCCCATCGAATACTCGGCCCTGTCTCGTTCGACGAACGACCTCGCGAGAATCGTTCGTCGATCGCTCGTGGATCCTGCGAACCCTGTCCGTGCCTGGCTAGGCAGGATCCACGCCTCAGGACCAAGGATCCTGGTCTAATAAACGGAGCGAAGACAGAAGTCGAGAGAGAGAGAGAGTGTGGAAACGCTCTCCCTGTCAGGATCATCCACGTGGGTGTGATGTGTACCTTGATTGGACGAGTGTGAGGCTCACGATTGCGGTTGCGGTGTGTTGTGGTCTCGCTTGTCTGCCGCAGGAGCCGGCGGCTTTATCACGGGCTTCTCCTCGTTTACCGGTGTGGGCGGGGCGTCCTTTCTTGGTGGCATCCTTTCGTTTATAGCGTCCAGACCCTTTGCCTCGGCGAACGAGGTGATTTTGTGGTTCGGCGAGAAACCTTGGAGAGCTGCGAACAATAATTCGCGAGTTGTGATCAACCATCGGACTTCGAATGGGGTACAGGAAGGATGGGGGGAGTGTGTAATTCGAATGGAACGGTAGGGACGAGGTGCAGGGGGATTTGGATTAGGGTACGTCAACACAGAGGATTCTTCAGTGGAGTAAATATATAGGGGGAGTCGTCCTTCACGGTTGTTGTAGTCGACTAGGTTGCAGGTATCCTCGTTGTGATCAACATCATCAGACTTCGAATGGGGCACAGGAAGGATGGGGGGAGTGTGTAATTCGAATTGAACGGTAGGGAAGAGGTGCTGAGGGATTTAGATTAGGGTACGTCAACACAGAGGATTCTTCAGTGGAGTAAATATATAGGGGGAGTCATCTCCCATGATTGTTGTAGTCGACTAGGTCGCAGGTATCCTCGTTGTGACGTTGTAGCTAAAAGGGACGAAGGGAGAAGGAAGTGGAGGCCTGCTAGTGGACTCATCAGTAAGGCTACCTAGCAGGCACCGCCTTAGATGGGGATACTATTGGAAGATCCGGAAGTTATATATGTAGGAAGTGCAGTTTCCCGAGGACTTGCGAGAAAGTCCTCGAACCTCCTTCAAATCGGAATCCATCTAGTGGCGAGGATGAGAATGACGGTCGCTACAAGTATCACCTTATTTATCAATTAAACTGTCGCGACCAAGTCACTACACCCTCTCCAACAGTAGGAACCGCAGGAACCCGAAGACGTCATTGAACCCCGTGGGGGGAAGCCCCACAAAACGTTCGATTGCTAACCGTGTAGTATCAAAAATCTCGGTTTCATAATTTTCATATTAAAATGAAATTTTGTAACGGGAATATTGCCTTGCCCCTTCTTATGTATAATAATAAAATTAGGTTATGCGAAAATTGATTATACAACGAATAGAGAAACATGTTTGACGATGGTATATCATGGCGAAATTTTGGATGCTTGACTTCACTTGGAGGTTAATTTTTAAATTTAGTATTGAAAAAGAATTCGTGATTTGATTAACTGCCATAACTCACCGTTTTTTAGGGACGTCTTGCCACCAGATAACGCGCCAAGAGGCAAAGCTCCAGTGGGCGTGAGCCCCTTCAGCTGCAGCACGCTCTCGCTTTCCTCTCTGCAAGATGAAGCAAGTGGTAACGATAAGCGAATCACGTAATCACGTTTCGAAAAAGGAAAAAGAAAATAATTAACTCGGCTGAACGCGTCGGTATTCGCTGAAAGCGTTTAATCACGCGCGTCGATGTTTTGCCGAGCAAAAGTCGG